TGGGGGCGATATGCAGACTCTGTAAACCGCTTAGAGAGGGCTGAAAGCCCTATGAAGCGGTATATAAGTCTAACTGCTATTGCTAATCTCTTCTGTAGTCACTCTGCTCTCTATTTTTTAATCAATCTCTCTCTCTCTCTCCCCCCCCCCCATATACATTTTCCCACGAACTACTATGGATTCTACCAAAATCGGTCCAGTATTAAGAAGTTTTCAACATTCTTGTATCCTAGTACTGTTATGAAAACCACCTTGCAAGGCAGCATATTGTAGCCCGTATCCAATCATTTGGGAATATATTGACAAAATCAGAATGTTACAGATGTAAAGGATGTATGAATATCCAATCAATACATCAGTTGCATAAGAAGATATGGACGTAACATATCACTGGGCACCCAGTCTAATATAAAATTGTGGGCAGTAATTGTAATTGCTGCAAAACTAATTTACTTAAAGCCCCCAAAGTGAGGATGAAATCTGAGAAGTAGTTTTGGGATTGTGTCTGTCTCCGCACATTTCCAGTTAAAATGTGATGCATATAACACTGCTTGAAGGCAAGGATAAGTAATTCCTTTTTCCAAATGTGGAAAGACCTATTGGATGGGAGAGAGAAGAGATGATAGGTAGAATTGCTTGTCTATAACTGGAGTATGCTATTCTAAAAAGAAGTTAACATCCCAATTGATTATTTCTTGCAGTCTGGGACTGAAGTGTTGACTGAACAGTTTGGAAGCCATTTTACCTGTGGCCAGAAAATTGGGCAGACACAAGCCCTGAATTCCCTATCTCAGCCCACCAAGCACCACAACAAATTGCCTATCTCTTTTGTTGAATTTCCCAGAGTAATTCTCAGGCTGAAGTTCTTCAGGATATTGAGCAGGAGTCATTGTTCACATAGGAGTACTAACAATAACATTGATGTCCAGCACTCAGATGACTCTGTAAATTCTTCAGCATTGATAACATCAACGTACGGTTGCTTAGGCTATGAAGAGTGGACATAAGATAATTACAGGAAACACCACCATTAAGTCTGAGTGTAAATCATAACAATCGTACTTTGTTTAACTTATTTGATCCAACCCAGTCCTAAGCATGCTTACTGGGAAGTAAGTTCTCCTGGGTTAAGTGGGGTTCACTTCCAAGCAAGTCTGTTTAGAAATGGAGCACCTGGCAACCCTTTTGCATTCTGCTAACCGCAAGCTCTCTTTGCAGCTTGTTGAGTCTTCCAGATTCGGTTCTCAGAAGATGGCTAAAGAGTTAAGAATGCTGTTGCCTACTCCAGATTATACAGTTATGACATTTGCAATGGAAATATGAAGGCCTTGCTGAATGGGCTCTCCTTTGCTTATTAGAAAATAAATGGAAACACCTTGTTCAGGTCACATTGTTCATCCTAAGACTCTCGTCACGCCTGTAGCAACAGGGCCGCTGCCCCCTTCCACTGTCAGGAAAAGCACTCGAACATTAGGCCTAATTGCCTTTTCCATTACGTTCAACCACCTCCAATCGAACAGCTGCTATTAAATGTGACAGTTGAAAAGGGCGATTATGGAGAGAGATCCAGGTATGTCTTCAGTAATATAAATCTGTAAATGTCTAAACAGAGGGACGCACTCAAGTTCCAGGGAAATGTATTGTCAAGTTTTTATTTTATTTTATATTGCTTATACATATCAACGTGTGAATAGTGTGATACCTGGGTATCATACATTTTAGTACACATAAACATAATATTATTACTCATAGTTATTACGTTTCATTTTCATTTCATATTGTTTAAACTTATATAATGCTATCGCCATTCAATTTCTAAACCTCCCTCGCGTTTGAATTAAAATCTCACCACTCTTCTTCGGCATTTTGCCAATGTGATCTAAAAAAAACCTGTCAACTTAAAAAATACTCAGAAAGTAATGAGCCTAAAGCCAAAGGCCCTATATTGTGTCAGAGACACTGTGGGATGTCAAACTCCTGGGCTGTGGGCCAGATGCGTCACACGCTGGTCATGCCCACGTTTAGTTTAGCGAAGGAGAAAAAAGTCCTGATATGTCACATGACGCCACCATGATGACGTGAGTTTGACACCTCCTGTAGGAAAATCCCTACTACAAAAATACAGACCAGTAACTGTTGTCCTGATCCAGACCATAGTTTCAGATAATAGCTTCAGCTCTATAAATTTCCTGAATGTTGATATGCTTAACAAGGCACAAGTAACCATACTGCCAAAATACAAATCACTGTATTAAAAGGATGTTGATCAAAATAGATAAAATATTATTTATCTATGCAGGATTTCTTCTTATAAACCATCAGTAGCAAAAGATTGGGAAAACTCTTCCAGTCAAATAGCCAGATCAGGAATGGAGAATCCTCAGGAAATCTCAAAGTGGGGGCTTATAACCTTTATAAAATATTTTCCCTCCACATATAGGTCCATTAAAGAATTCGTTTGGGGTAGTGGTTAAAGCAGCATGAGATACAAAGCCAGCTGGCTGACCGGTTCACCAACAAAAGGGCGAATGACAAAAGCGCGCCCGACTTAAACCGTGGTGACAAAACCGCGAGTTCTAAAGCGCGGATACGAATGAGCACTGAAGTGGACTGACAGAAGCGCGCTGTAACCCTAAACCTAACTCTAACCCTAACCCTAAACCCCTATCTTAAATTGTGCTTCTGTCGGCGCGCTGTTGATGACGTCGCGGTTTTAGCGCCATGGTTTTGTCGGTGCGCTTTTGTCGTGTCACGGGCTGACCTTGAGCCAGTCACTCTCTCTCAGCCTTAGGAAGGAGTCAAACCATACTTCTGAAAGACCTTGGCAAGAAAACTGCAGGTATGGAGGGGACAACCATGATGTGAAGGCACATAAACAAACATGAAAGCAAGCAAACAAACAAACAAATTAATTAATTTAAAATAAATCAATCCAGATCTGATACTGTGATGCATAATGTTTCTCATTTGTAGCTCCTCTGTTACACATGATAAAGGTGTGCTAATGTGCATGATCAGTTTCAGCTTAATAAAGGACCATGAGTAAGCTAATACCACAGCTGATGCCACAGGAAAAATCAATTTCTCTTTCCAGCTGAGCAAGAACATGTTGACCCAAGGAAATCCCAGAAAGTTATACTTCTTACCTAGGTAACTGGGTAGAGTGAAAAGAAGACAGATAAAATATCAGACGTGTTGTAGAAGTGCAAGTTAGTTTTTTAAAAAGTGGTTAGCAATGAATTAAGATAAACAGAATGAGAACATTGCCTTTCATTGACTAAAACAAGTTAATAGGCATTATCATAAAATGAGAAGTCCACTTTCATTCTACCTAAGTTGAATATTCAAGCAACTGACCTCATAGTGCGGCTTTTACCACTAGAACATGGCCTGCCTCAAGGACCAGACACTTTAACTCTTTTCCTGTGGACTGTTAATTACACAAGCAATGAAAATCAAAGCGTTTACAGATCCTTAAATCCAAATATTCAGAAAGAACGTTTTGAAAGGTGTAGCCCAGAAGTTAAGATTTTAAGTGTCCTATAGTCCCCATGTTCTGTTGCTAAAAGCTGTATTCTGGAGCCAGCAAGCACAAGAAGTCATGATTTTATATGTTGCATATTCAATATGCAAATACCAGCTGCGACCTGATTGGTTGGTCGTTTTGACAGTTGGTCTNTATTCTATTCTATTCTATTCTATTCTATAATTCTAATTCTCATATGTTTTAGCCTCCAAATCCCTAATCATCTTTGTTGCTCTTCTCTGCACTCTTTTAGGGTCTCAACATCATTTTTGCATTATGCTGAACAGAACTAGAGACAGTATTCCAAGTGTGATCTTACCAGTGCTGTATAAAGTGGTACTAACAGTTTATGTGACCTTGAAAATATCCCTCTAGCATAGATAACCTAGGATTGCATTAGCTTTTTTTTGCAGTTGTAGCATACGGTTGGCTCATATTTAAATGGGGCTCTACTATGACACCTACATCATTCTTACAGTTACTGCTGTTGAGAGAGGTACAATCTATTTTATACTTGTGCATTTGATTTTTCTTGCCTATGTGCATTATTTTTCTCACCACTGAATTGCATTTTGTTGGGTAGGACTTAGCTTTTAAGTATGTCAAGATCCTTCTGAATTTTGAGTTCTATCTTCTTAAAAGTGTTAGCTATTTGCCACAGCTTGATGTCATTTACAAATTCTATGAGTTCTCCTTCTAAATCATTTATGAAGTGGTTGAAGAACACTGGGCCTAGGGCAGAATCCTGAGGTTCCCCACTGCGTGCTTCCCTCCATTTAGATGTAGTTCCAATGAGGACTAGACATTGAGTGCAGATATGTATCCAGCTGGTGGTGATGCAGCCTACCCCAGATTGTTTTAGCTTACTAAGAAGTATGCTGGTCTACTTTGTCAAATGCCTTACTGAATTCCAAGTAAACTATCTGTTTGTGACAAACCCATGTTGACTTCTAGTGATAGCTTTGCTTGTTTCTAGATGCTTACAAATGCAGTGCTTGGTTATCTTTCCCAGAATTTTTCCAGCTATTTATGTCAGGCTCATTAGTCTGTAGTTTATTGGATCCACCCCCCCCCCTCTTTTTGTAGATTGGAACCACATCAGCTCTTTTCCTGTCATCTGATATTGCCTAACTCTTCTGCAGCTTTACCTAACTACTGTATTCCTTAAAATTACTACAATCAAAACTAAAAATCTAGTGATCCATTTTGCAGAAATCATTTCTGAACAAAAGCAAGCTCTACAGTGTTCCAAAAGTGCTTTTTCAGCAGGCAACTGGACTCTGTTTTTTCTTTGAAGACATTTTGCTTCTCATCCAAGAAGCTTCTTCAGCTCTGGACATCACAGATCTCAAGCTCTGGAGTCTTAATTCCCAAGCAGCAATCACAATATCAAGCAGAAAATATTTTAACTGCTAATGACTAAGAAGTTAATTTGGGTACATTTCAAAGGACAGATCCATGTAAATGTATCACACTGCCATAACATAAAACAAGCACTAAAGAACATTATTTATCATTTGAATTAAAATACAAGCTAGAAAGGAACTTCACATGCCAATTTAACACTTTTCCACATCCGCTACAGGCACAAAGGCCACTTGTGTATTTGGGCTAATATGCAAATGTCATATCAGCCACACAATTATGAGAGCAGAGTCTTTACTAGACAATCAGCACCCAGTTTTATGTGACAGAATCTATCATGTGGAGAAGCTATAGGTGATTGGCTGTGCTAAACCTCGTTGCATCAAAGATACAACTGGGTTCATACATTGCAGAGGGCAACCAAATGAAAGACAGTAGATAGGTTTACACATGTTAAATTGGAACCAAATAAACCACTCCCATGAGATGGTTTATTGAGGCGTCAGGGTAGCCACATAGTGTGCATTTGTTTGAGATGGATGACGGAGAAACTGATTTTACAAGAACTTTCTACTCCAAAGACAAAATACTATAGCTATTCTTTTGGAATTGCGGGAGCCGTTTCTAAAATGTATTTATGAATGACCAGGTTCAAATTCCAAAAAGGGTATGGATGTCAGGTTGAACAATTTATCCACATGTAATTTGATCGAAGCGGAACCATTTTCTTCAAATTTTATAGGCATGAGGCGGTTACCAGTCCTGTCTGAAGATTAAATAGGGAGGCTTAAACAGGAAAGGCAGAAAGTTGAAAAGTTTTGGCTAAGAACAGGACGCTACATATTCTACCCACAGAAGGCAGCACAATACAAACAAGGCAATTCTGTACCAAAGTCAAACACATTGTATACAACGTGTTCTCTTTCCTAATGGCATTTTGAAAACCAGGCGAATGAAATACATTATTCGACTTGCATAATTCATTCTATTTCCCACATTTATAGGGAGAGGCAAAGGGAAATATTGTACACTAAAGACATGCCTCCAGGCCTCTAGTATCTTCTCCACTCCCATTGCTGGCTTTGGGTTTTTATTCATGTACTTTCAATACTAGCCTTTCACTCTCAAACTTGCTTTTCTAAAAGAAAGCTAAATTTTTGAGATTCCAATGCTCTAAAGTGATAGAAGATCAGAGATGTGGGACATCTGAGGTAATACTTGTTCTGTCAGTAGAAAAAGAGTTTTTCAAGCGGCCTAACAGTATGGACCAGGAACCATAATTCCTCCAAAAATTCACTCTTTCACAAGAAGAATCTGTACTCAGAGGAGAGAACAGAAATAGACATGCTTGTTGAGACCTTCTAAAAGGAAATGTAAACATCATTTTAGATATCATCAGACCTATGACACTTCCTTTTCCTTTCAAAGGGCAATCTCATCTTCCAGGCTATCTCCCAGCCCCTGATTGTCCAGGACATTAAACAGGTGACGTGGCTCCTTTTGGGCCCATGAGTCCCACTCCTCGCTCTCATCCATGTTGGATTCATACTCAGAGGCAATACCAGACTCATGAAATTTGATGAACTCCAGGCTGCCCAAAGGAGGGTCCATACTAGGAAGGAAATGGAAGCATTCCAGCTTCACCAAATAGTCACTCCTACCTAAAGGGCTGCCCAGAGAACTGGAAACATTGGAGAAGCTGTTGTCAGGCTGAAGAAGGTGGGTGTCCTCAGGCATAGGGGTAGTGGGATCACACAGAACAGGCAGGGCACCTGATGGGTAGGTGATTTCCAACAAGTTGTCTTGAGAGTCCACTGCAAGACAAGAAGAAAGAATGGTGCATCAGAGCAATTACCTTTGCTATGTTTATGTCAGGGGAGATGGCTACCCTAACCATCCAAGAGAACAATTACCTGTTGCAATTATTTCTGCTGCTCTTGAAGACTACTGAGGATATATAGTTGATCCAAGGGTATGACTGCAAAAACAGTTTCGGGTGCATCACGGTATGCTTATAACACATCTCAATTCTGTCAGCTGCACTGATTATTCAAAAGCCCACTAGTAATCAATGCAGGTCACAGAATGGAGGTGTGTCACAAGCATACTTGTCATGCAGGGGTGGGTTTCTTGCCTCGTTCCAACTGGTTCGGTTGGAACGGGGCCAGCGGCGTCCTCGTGCACACGTGCGGTGCACGCGTGCGTACTAGCGTCTGTGCGATGCTCCAGCTGCTTCTGGTGGATCACGCAGGCGCTGTATGCGTCCTGCGCATGCATGGAAGCGCAGAGCTCGTCAAAACTGGGTAAGGAGCGCGGCTGGCCGGCCGGCCGGCC